TTTGAAGAAACGGACTCGTAGCGAGGGGTCGTGAACCCGGAAGTGAGAGGATTATGGGAAACGTAGTGCTGAGGTGTAGGCTTGGGCTCACCTGGAGGAGTCGAAAACCCGGAAGTCGAGGGTCGATGGGAATTGTAGTTTGCCTCTCTCCGTCTCTCCCGGAAACGGTCATCGATTGAGATGGCAAGGTCTATCAGCTTGTCGAAAGTCGGGTTCATCTCGCGTGGCCAGCTGGTCTTTGAGAAAATCAGACAGAGCGTTAAGGAAAATACCTTGGAGGGCGGGCTCGTCCCATCCAGTTTGGGCCGTAAGGATCCGAAACTCCAGAGCGAACTCCGAGGCATTACGACGGCCCTGTCGTAAGTTCAACAACCGCTTGGCGGCATTTGAAGCCTGCAGGGGATGGTCAAAAATCCTACAAAACTCTCGAAGAAAAAGTGCATAGGAAGCAGGGGGGTTATCATGACTCAAGAGGAATGAGTGAGCCCACCGGAGAGCGTTACCTTTGAGCTGGCTTACGAAGAATGTGATTTTGGCCGTGTCCGACGAGAACTGGGAGGGAGCCCCCTCGAAGGCGAGTCGGCACTGGAGCAAGAAGCCGCCACATTGGTCAGGGTCTCCGGTGAAGAACTCAGATGGTTTAATGAAAATTTGTTGGACAGGAGGAGTGGGACCAAGAGCCACGGGGGTTGGCGGAACGACTGGAGCTGAGGAGGCAGAAGCTTGCAGCTGACGTTTTATGGAATAAATCATACCTCCGAGCTCATGAAGGTTGGACTGGACCGTGGTCTGGTGAGTCAGCACCTGATGAATAACTTTGTCCATCCTGTCGATCCGCTCCTCCGCGGGAACGGGGGATGTCTGCTCGCTCTTGGTCTCATTCTGGGTCTGTTGTGGCTGGAGCATTTCTGTTAAGAGTGCGCGGGGAACCCAGATGTTATGAGACCCAGAACGAGGCAGACACAGGGGAAATACAAAAGAACAGTGTTTATTATGTACAGTGAAATAATAGCGTCCACAAGCTGCTTCACAGAGGCTCCTGGAAAGAGGGACGACAGGTTAATAGTTGTCCAACGGGGAAGGCCAGAGTGGTTTGTTTAATGAGCGTTTGTCCTTAAGAGGAGAGCTGGTCCTTCAGTCCAAGGAGAGCGAGCAGCAGAGGGAAATCCAACAAGGGCCCAAAGGGGAACGAGGAAGGCTGGCAACTGGAGGCAAAGAGGCACGAGGAATACCTGACAGGCCAAGGGATCCAGATCAGGTCACGAGGGAATCCAAAAAGCACGAGGAACCAGGAAACTGGAAAAAAGATCAAAAGGTGAACAAATTATTTTCACCAAGACATTTGCCTCACAACAGTACTATACCATAAGAGGTGATATGCTCCAGCGTTGAGTCACACCGGACTGCAGCCTTAAGTAGATGGAGAGGCTCATCAGGCTGATGGCCGCCAGGTGTTGGTAATCAGCGGCCATCAGCAAGGCAGGCTGCAGGCAGTGGGACCCTTACAATGATAAGGAAGCCTGTGGTGGAATAGTGAAGTGCAGGAAGCTATTCAAAGAAAGAGGTTAGGCAAGAAGAAATATGACAGTGAGAGGACTGAAGAGAGGAGACAGGAATATAAGGAGATGGAGAGCAAAGAGGGAGGTGGCAAAGGCAAAGGAGAAGACATATGATTAGTTGTATGGGAGGCTGGACACTAAAGAAGGCGAGAAGGACTTGTACTGATTGGTGAGACAGAGGGATCAGGCTAGAAAGGAAGTGCAGCATGTTAGGCTTGTTAAAGATGGAAATGGTAATGTTCTAACAAGTGAGGAGAGTGTGACAAGAAGATGGAAGGAGTACTTGGAGGAACTAATGAATAAAGAGAAGGAAAGAGAAGGAAAAGTAGAGGTTATAAAAACTGTGCTCTGAAAAGAACGCAGAATGGGAAGACAGTAGGCCCCGATGACATAGTGGAGGTTTGGAAATGTCTTTGAGAGATGGAAGTGAGGTTTTTGACTCAAATATTCAATGGCATATTTGGAGGTAAGAAAATGCCTGAGGAATGGAGAAGAATTGTGCTGGTGCCCATTTTTAAGAACAAGGGTGATGTACAGAGTTGTAGCAACTACAGGGGAACTAAGTAGATGAGTCACACAATGAAGATCTAAGAGAGAGTTGTGGAAGCAAGACTTAGACAAGAGGTGACTGTGAGCAGCAGTATGGTTTCATGCCAAGAAAGAGCACCACAGATGCCATCTTTGCTTTGAGGATACTGATGGAGAAGTACAAAGAGGGTCAGAAAGAACTCCATTGTGTCTTTGTGGATTTAGAAAAAGCATATGACAGTGTGCTGAGGGAGGAGGTGTGGTATTGCATGAGGAAATCTGGAGTGGCAGAGAAGTATGTTGGACTGGTACAGGACATGTATGAGGACAGCAGGACAGTGGTGAGATGTGCTGTAGGAGAGAGAGCAAGAGCAAGAGAGAGAGAGAGAGAGAGAGAGAGAGAGCTTCAAGGTGGAGGTGGGATTGGATCAAGGATCGTCTCTGAGCCCCTTCTTGATGGCTCTGGTGATGGACCGACTAAGAGTCAGGCAGGAATCCCTGTGGACTATGATGTTTGTAGATCATATTGTAATCTGTGGTGAGAAGAGGAAACAGGTGGAAGAGAACTTGGAGAGGTAAATGGACAGTATAGCACCTTTCTATCTTATCAAGACCCTCAAAGCACTTTACACTACAATCTGTGCCCTTATTTACCCATTCATACAGCATTCTACTGGATATGAACAAAGCTAATTGAACAAATCATTCTAAAGAGACTAATCAGTGCTTTATCACATTCATACACCAATGGGACACACATTTGAGACAATGAGGGGTTCAGTGACTTGCCCAGGGACACTTGCGCATGTGACTGCTGGTGGAATTGAATCCCCAACTCTTGCATGGAGGATGACTGCTCTAACCACTATGACACAGCTGCCCAGGTGCCGAGGTGAAGGTATGCAGTTGAAAGAAGAGGATTGAAAGTCAGCCGTAGTAAGACAGAGTACATGTGTGTGAATGAGAGGGAGGCCGATGGAACAGTGAGGCTGCAAGGAGCAGAGGTCACAAAGGTGCAGGACTTCAAGTACTTGGGGTCCACTGTCCATGAAAATGGGGAGTGTGGTAAAGAGGTGAAGAAGAGAGTCCAGACAGGATGGAGTGGATGGAGAAAAGTTTCAGGAGTGATTTTCAATAAAAGGATGTCCGCAAAGGTCAAAGGAAAAGTTTACAAGACAGTAGTGAGACCAGCTACTGTACGTTGGCAACATGATGGCTCAGTGGTTAGCACTGTTGCCTCACAGCAAAAAGGTCCTGGATTCAATCACCGGTTGGTCTTTCTGTGTAGAGTTTGCATGTTCTTCTCGTGCTTGCGTGGGTTTTTTCCGGGTACTCCGGTTTCCTCCCACAGACAATAAACATGCATGTTAGGCTACCTTTAGGCCCAGGCCTCCCTTGCAAAAAAGATCTGTGATCTCAATGGGATTTGCCCAGTTAAATAAAGGTTAATAAATTAATAAATAAATGTTATATGGTCTGGAGATAAAGACATGGACAAAAAGACTGGAGAAAGAACTGGAAGTAGCAGAAATGAAGATGTTGAGGTTCTCATTAGGAGTGACAAGGATGGATGAGATTAGGAATGAGATCATCAGAGGTACAACACAGGTTGAACAACTGGGAGATAAAGTTAGAGAGGCCAGAATGAGATGGTTTTGGACATGTCCAGAGGAGGGACAATGGGTATATTAGTGGAAGGATGCTAGAAAAGCAGCTGTCAGGAAAAAGACAAAGAGAAGATATATGGATGCAGTTAGAGGGTATGGAGGTAGTTGGAGTGAGGACAGAAATGCAGAGGACAAAGTGAGATGGAGGAGGATGACTTGCTGTGGAGACCCTGAAGAGGGAAAAGCCGAAAGAAGATCGAACTTTCCTGCTGCTGCTGAAATCACCTTTATTTGATCACTTTTATTTTTTTTTTCTGTTACGTTAACATGACAGATGGATGCAACAAAGTTTTCTTTTTCCACCATCACTGAGTTTTCATGCACGTTACATTTGTACATACACATACATACGTACAGCTGTTGGTGGGGTAAGGGTTTGCTTCTGGTTTCTTTGTGTGTTGTTTGCTTACAGCGTGAATTAATATTCTGTTCTTCATTAGCCTGGCTAGCTTTCATTCTCAATTGCTTCAGTCAGTTTCATTGGATGGAAGTGTCGCACCTCTTGTTTAAACCCAACCACGACTTTCCATTCTTCTTCCCCAGTTGTTTGCTCTGCCTGCGTTAGTTTTCTCAGACTTGTGTTTGTTTTTGTGTTTTTGCTAGAGTCAACTCTCGCCTTGCTCTCTTCTGATCAGCTTCTAGCTATTTCCTGTATTGTCCTCAGTGCTCTTTTCATTTGTGAAGACCTCGACACCATCCATTCCACCTCCACTGTTTCGACCTGATGTGAAAGCCATGAAGCTACATTCAGTGTGCAGCCTTTGCAATCCACCAAAGTACTTCAAATCTTACCGTTCTTGTAATGTCGTCCAGCCTCTCCTCCTTTGTGCGACTGACTGAATAGACACAGACTGGTTCATTCAGAGTAACAAAGACAAGTTAATCAATGAGTTTGATTAGCTGCACCTGGCTGATGCTAACCTTCTACTGATGATGGAAGCAATAAGAGTGGGCTCGTTTCCCCACATTGCCTTGTTATTTTTTTATGAATAAGCAACAATATGCCATTTCATATCAAATGTTTTGTGATGTTGAGTTTAATTCATTTTCAAAGCTTGTGCAAACCTGACACATATTAATCCCCAGACATGTAAACTCTATGAACTGAAAGATTGAATAACTTAACTGTATTCCCAGTGATTGAACAGTGATCATTATCTAAAGCTCATAGACTACACCTTTAAAGCCCCCAGCCAGACCCCCACAGGTGAGCCTTAAAACACCAGAGTGGTCAGGTGGGTCTTACCTTCCACCAAACACAATGACAGGACAGGCCACAGCTGCCAGCTGCTGCTTCAGCTTTGTGATCATGATGGCGTAGTCAGCAAGGGCCTGCTCCACCGTCAGCAGGCCCACTTGAGGGATGTCGAAGGAAACGTTGCCAAAGGGCAGTGACTTCCCGTAGTACCTCTGGAAGATAAAACATCATGAGAAGACGTTCAAACAGAAGGAAACGTCTACATCCTTCTGGAAAAACATATTTTATTCATTCTTTTAACTCTCATTACAGAGAATATAATCTTATATAAAGGGAGGCGAGGTGAAAGTAATCTGAGCAATTCCACATGCACAATGTGAAGGGAACTCAAGGGATTGGGACTGAACAGCTGTGTAGCCTTAAGAAAACCACTAATCAGTGAGGCTAACCAAAAAAAAGGCTTAATTTTGCTAGGAAGCATAAAGATTGGACTCTAGAGCAACGGAAGAAGGTCATGTGGTCTGATGAGTCCAGATTTACCATGTTCCAGAGCAATGGGCGCATCAGTGTAAAAAATGAGGCAGGTGAAGTGATGCACCCATCATGCCTAGTGCCTACTGTACAGGCCTGTGGGGGTAGTGCTATGATGTGGGGTTGCTGCAGTTGGTCAGGTCTAGGTTTAGCAATAGTATGTGCTCAAAGAATGAGGTCAGCTGACTACCTGAATGTACTGAATGACCAGGTTAATCCATCAATGGATTTTTTCTTTCCTGATGGTACGAGCATATTCCAAGATGACAATGCCAGGATTCATTGAACTCGAATTGTGAAAGAGTGGTTCTGGGAGCATGAGACATCATTTTCACACATGGCTTGTCCACCACAGAGTCCAGACCTTAACCCCATTGAGAATCTTTGGGATGTGTTGGAGAAAGCTTAAAGCAGTGGTCAGAATCTGCCATCATCAGTGCAAGATCTTGGTGAAAAGTTAATACAACACTGGATAGAAAAAGATCTTGTGACATTGCAGAAGCTTATGGAAACAATGCCACAGCGAATGCATGCCGTAATCAAAGATAAAGGCAGTCCAACAAATCTGAGTTTTAAAAATCAAAGCTGAGACTCAGTAACATCTGAGTCAATGAGCTACAGAGCAAAACGTCAAAATGAGCTCAATTATCAGATAACGTACTTGACCAGAGTCGTTTTTTAATCCCTGTGTCATCTGTACTTTTTAAATATCCTGATGCATGCTCAATAATCCAGATAGAAAAATCTAAAAAAGTTAAATCTGGTCCTCTGGACATTCAAAAAACAAAACAAAGCAAAACAACAACAAACATTTTTTAAAAAGGTTTCTTCTTTCATCCGAAAGACTTCCTCAGTCTGAGGTGCTGTATTCAGCTCAGTCTTATAAATAGCACCTTGTCTGTCAGAGTGGATCAACCAGTTTGCTGCTGACAACCAAAACCAGCTGCTCACATGATCAAGAAGGACCATCAGCCTAACAATGGATCAACCCTGATGGCTGTTTACTATTCACAGGGGGCTGAGTGAAACTAGCAATAACAGCATTGTAAGAGGGGGGACAATTGAACACGGAAGCCTCCACCCCTGTTTAATGATGGACAATTTCTTTTCACAAAGATGGCCTCCTTTACTCCTCTCTCAAACCATCGTTCCTCTCTATCCAGGATGTGAACATCTTCATCCCTGAACGAGTGACCGCTGGCCTGGAGATGAGTGTAGACTGCAGAGTCCTGTCCAACCCAGCAGCAAACTGGTTGATCCACTCTGACAAGGTGCTATTTATAAGACTGAGCTGAATACAGCACCTCAGACTGAGGAAGTCTTTCCGATGAAAGACGAAACGTTTCTACATTTTTTTGTTATTTTGTTTTTTGAATGTCCAGAGGACCAGATTTAATTTTTTTATATGTACTTTTTAAACTTACACACTTTTAAAGACTCTCCTTCTAAATATGGGTATTTGAGCAGACGTGACTCAGTAAGGTCACCTGACCAATCGGGTCAAACTTCAACCAGCCATTTCCTCATTTTCCTTTGTCACATAAGAGGCAGCTGTTGTTCAAAACGCACATCCATTTGAGTCTTATTCAGCTATGTTCGTGTTCTCTTACATGTTCTCCAAATATGAGCAATGCCTGCTGCTGGGCTGCTAACTCCAACATGAATCCAGAGTTCAGGGCAAACTCCCAGACGTCCCCCTCGTTCCCAGTGTAGAAGAAGATGGGACCATGGCCTTTATTCCAGTATTTATCTGAGGGAGAAAACAAGAAGACATCTTTTTGTTATTGTTCCATGTGAGAAGTTTACAGCAGGAAACTACTCTGACCTGAGATCAGGTACCGCTGACTGAACGTTCTGTTCCCCATGATGTTGAAGTTGAAGTGATCCACAGTCTGGCTGAAGAACTTCTCTGAGAACTGGGACTCTGATGCAGCATGTTGTCCTACCTGTGGAAATGATTGATTGGCAGCTGAGAGTGACAGCTCTGCTGTTCATTCATTAAAGTGTCGGTCACATCAAATATGGATGCATGTTTAGAAAGAAAACATTAACAATCTAAAAAAGTTAAATCTGGTCCTCTGGACATTCAAAAAACAAAACAAAGCAAAAAAAAAAAGTAGAAACGTTTCATCTTTCATCTGAAAGACTTCGTCTGAGGTGCTGTATTCAGCTCAGTCTTATAAATAGCACCTTCTCAGAGTGGATCAACCAGTTTTGCTGCTGACAACTGTAGTGAACTAAGCCTCAGGTCAAAATCTGACCCTGAGGACCTTCATGGGACAGAAACTGTTATTTCATTGATTTGAGTCCAGAAATACAAATTAAGCTCATCCAGAGACTTTCTAAGTGTGTCCTGCACTAATCAATTGAAAGAACACTCTCTTTTTTTATTGTCATTACTATTTTTACAATATCTTGATAATCAAAGTGTGTTTAGTTCAAACCATTTTAAATGTTGAAGTGAACTACTCATTTTAAATCAACTGTGAAACAGTATTAATGATTTTTAATCCTCATTCAAAGTAGAAATCAAGTTAATGTCTGCTACAGAGTAATTATGCACTTTTTGATCTTCTGTCTGAAATGAGAAGGAGTGATGTCGGTCAAAAGTCAGAGAACGGTCAAAAACATGTTTATCGGAACGAAATGTCATGTTTAACTCTCTCAGATAGATAGAAGGAAACTGGCTCCTAAATGTCTGTCTGTTTCAAAACATCTTTCTGTTATACTTTTAAACATCTACGCTGTCTCCTTGACATGTAGTGACCCTCTGACGTCACTAAAAACCACACCCCGGTTGGTTCGTTCAACCAATCAGGAAGTTCCCAGAAGGAACAGGAAGTGACCTCTTTAAAAGGGTCGACACTTCCTAGTTCCACAGGGGGAGAACAACATTCCAGAGCAGAACAAGAGTTCCAGGGAGAACCTCGAACCAGAAGTTCCTGAACGAGAGAAGTTCAGAAGAACAGAAGTTCGAACAGTTTCTAATGGAGTGACAAGAGTCCGTCGATGCCACGACGTCTCGCTGTGGCTCTACCCGACGAATGCTCTGAACAATGAGGAAGTTTGTTCTGTGATGATCTCACGACTCCTGAAGTCACAGCTGTTCTTACGGAGACGCTGAAAGGTGGCTTGAAATGGAACTTTACGCCGGAACTGAAATATCTTCAGAAAGGTAAAAGAGTCGATCTTCAACTGCCAGTGTACCGTGGGTTAAGCTGCGTCTAAAGGAGTGTGCTGTTCTGGTTATACAGACACTTTTTCCTCATCCATCTCTCTCCATTTAAACTTCATTTTCCCATCTTTAAACTTCTATCTTGCCAGTAATTAGGTGCAGATATCTTCAGAAATGTCTGTTGGTTTCAAAAGCTGCAAAAGATAATCATGGCCGCATGATTTTCTCATGCAAGGGTCATTAATTAAGCTGTGTCATTGTAGTCAATTTTGCCAATTAATGTAAATGTGTGATGTGTTTTAAATCGTTTCTAATTAAACGACTCACTGTTGTGGTGGGTCAAAGATAAAACACGTCTCTGTCCACATTTAATAAGTAAAACACGATATTACTCAGTCCAGAAAAATGAAAGAATCCGTTTAAATTATGGATAATATCAGACGCATATTATCTTCATTACAACTGGTGGCCTCGTACGGTTTCATGAAATGGACTGTGCTATTCTGTAACACTTGAATTTATCATGTTGGCATATCTGATCTTAACTGAAAGTAGCTTAAAAGTGCAGATTTCTGTTCGACTGTAAAACGCAATGTTTTCAGCCGTGGTGTTAAGAGAGCTGAAGTTAAGTCAATGTGTTCATTTTAAAGCTGAATTTGTACATCTGTTGTGTAACTAAGCTGACATACTGTGGAGAAACGTTTGATTCTGTTTAAACTGTAACAGAAAGGGGGTTCTGACCCGGTTCTGTTCGCTCGGTTCTGATTTCGAACGAGTTGTTTTAAATGGATGGAAAGCTGTTTTAAAGCTGAGTGCCGTCTCAGATCACTGTTAAGAGCTGTTCGTTACATTAGTAGCAGTAAAATGTGCATTTTGACAGTATTAATGGACGAAAGTTGACCGGAATGTTCAGGCTAAAAGCTAACATGATAGCTGCAATCACGAATTGTGATTGGTTGAAAACCGCTGTTTGGGTCGCTCTGATTCGCTGAGAAATAGGTGACGTGTATGCGTTCACTCCCTCTGATGTCAGATTGTAAAACCCACCCGGTTGCTCACTGGTTGATTCAATCACGTGACCCCGGAAATGGATCTCGGTTCAACCGAAGCCTCCACTGTGTTTAAAATCGCTAAATGGAGCTGCCACTGTTCCCAAAAAACTCATGTGTTCATGCAGATAGACGTGCTTGTTAAAGCGACGCCACGTTTAAGCTTTAAATCCGTTCAGAAAACGCTGATGTGACCATAATCGGTCGATGCTAATTCTAGCTAACGGCTAACAACCGAATGTCAACGGAACGATCCACAGGAAGTTGTCATAGACTCCTGCTGGTATAAATAAGCTTACACCGCCACCTGCTGTTGGAAGAGGAGTATAACAGTTTTCTTTAAAGAAGAGACTGATAATTCCTCTCATTTTTTTCCTTTTCTTTTTGTTAACACAACCTGGTTTATGAGTAACTGTTTTAAATAACAAATTCTGGTAAATAAAACTGCTTAAAAAGCGTTTAAAAACTAAAGTTGCCATGAGACTTTTACAAAAATTTCAGGTTTATTTAAATTTTAGTGCTTTAGAGTAAATGAACACTGGAAAAGGCCTGGTTCCTGTATCTGTTAGATTTAAGCTCATTAAGTAACACTGCCAGAAAGACGCATTTACTTAAAAATATTCATGCATTGGGGTAAAACCTACGAATAGGTGCCCATTCATTTGAAGAAGTGGCTTTAACAGTACTGTTGAGTGAACCCAGAGCTAAAATAGTGTGTGAAACTCACATGGCACTTGAATACAAATATTTACCTGTTAAATAATCTGAAGTTGGCAACTGTTTAACCAGATAAGTGCTGAACAGTGAATAACCATGGCAGGTGTGACAGAAAAGGATATTGATCCTTGTGAGATGAAGGACTGGTTAGAGGGAGCGTTGACGCCGCTCACAGAATCCTTACATCCATATGGTGAACAGGTGGACAGCATGAACTCAAAAGAGTTATTGGATGAGTTGAAGGTGGTTGCAGAGAGTGTGACCTCTACAGACAAAACAGAGTCAAGCTATGACCAGCTGGCTAAATTGGCGCTCTTATTGGAAGCAACATTCTATGCTGTGGTAGACAAGGCTGATGACCTTGCAATAAGGTTAAACGGCGAAAGAGAGGAGTACCTCGAACTCATGGCACAGTCTAACTTTGATCAAGAGACCCGTGCAAATGAGGTACAACGTGACAGAGAGCTCTCACGAGCTCAGCTTCATTACAAGCTCACTCATATGAGGAGAAGATGACGGAAAAAGAGGTTAAGTACCAAGCACTGTGTTCAGACAACGATAGGCTACAACAACAGTTGCAGCTCACATCAAAAGCTCTGACCGAATGCAGATTGGAAAAGGAGGCGTTAGTACAACAAGGCATGCGTTTACAAAGTGAATGTCAAACATCACAGGAACGCTTAAAAGCCTGTGAGGAGAAACTAGCCCTAGCAACAAATAAGATTTCTGACGTGGGGCGAGCTTGTCTGGAACTCAAAGATGACCAAGGTCAGAGTCCAGGTCACCCACCATCACCTCAGAAGAATTTTGGTGCACCTCCTGCTCTTAATCCCATTCCGTCACCTCCACATGTGTCTAGCGACACACCTCCACGTGACATTTTGGTTCCTACGATACCGATAATACAGCCTTTGATCCCAATTTCAGATTTGCAAAAAATCTCAAAATACGTTCAACGCTTTATTCCTGGGCCTATGGATTCTACTGGTACGAAGGCGTATCTCAATGACCTAGATTTCAGACTGAATGGTTATCCTAATGCTACTGTTGAGGATAAAATCAGTCTGATAAGGCTCACTTCGGACAGAGAGGTGTTCACCTTCATCGAGCGTCAACCTGATGCCACGAGAAGGGATTACAACCTTCTGTGTGAAGCTTTGATAAGGGAATACGACCCCTACACCGGGCCTGGTGGCTTCCCAGCTGCAGACAAGTGTAGTAGAACATATGCTGTCATATATTCATAAATTAAACGGATTCTTTCATTTTTCTGGACTGTATAATGACGTGCATCTGAATTTAATAAAATGTGGACGTGAGACGTTAATTATCTTTGACTCACCAACGACAGTGGGTCATTTATTAACAGAATCAAGTTTAACACATCACACATTTACATTAATTGGCAAAAATTGAAAATAACGACAGCTTATTAATCAGTTTACAGGAAGTAAACAATGCAGCGATTGTTCTCACTTCCAGTAGTACAACAGATTATTAACCACACGGCGGTGATTGAAAACTTTGCTTCAGACATTTCTAAAAATATCTGTAATGATTTTTAGCAGATAGAAGAATTTTAAAAATGGGAAATGAAGTTTAAGTTGAGAGAGATGTGTGAGGGAATTTGTCTGTTTTAACCAGCACAGCACGCTCCTTTGGACCAGCTTGTCCCAACGGTACACTTTGGTTGAAGATCGACTTTTTACCTTTCTGAAGATATGTCAGTTCCGGCGTAAAGTTCCACTTCGAGCCACTTTTCAGCGTCTCCGTAAGAACAGCTAAACCTCGGGAGTCGTGAGGTCATCCAAAACAGAAGTTTCATAATTCCCAGATCTTCTCTCGTTCAGTTTGATTCTCTTTCAGCAGCATCCTGAATTCCAGCCTTCATGCACTCTGGAACTGCTGTAACTAGGAAGTGCTGCACCTTTTAAGAAGGGTCACTTCCGGTTCATTTGAGAACTTTCTGATTGGTCGATTGACCAAAACAGAGGTGTGTTTTGTG